CCCCCCCCGCCCCACCCCCCGGCCGTGCGACCACCACACGCGCAGGCGCCAGCGGCGAACGGGGAGGCTTCCCGGGGGAGGAGGGCCAGACGAGGGCAGGCCGTTGGGCTCGGGTTTCTCCCAGGGATCTAGTGATGGACGCCTGCCAAGGGTTGAGGGGCTAGTGATGACCGAACGCAGGGGAGGACTCTTCCAGGCTCCGCCGACAGGGAGACCCGCACCGAGTCCAGACCAGCGCAGGTTCGGACGGCGTGTGTCTCGGAGGGGCCCCGGGGTCTTTTCCGGTGCCCCGGAGGTGTGCACCTGGCAGCGTGCGCATGTCCGTCGGAATTGTTTCCGCGCCTCGCGTCCTCGTTGCGCTCCTCCTTTCCTGTGGTTCCCACCGCCTCGTCTGCGCCCCAGATCAGGTGGCCATCTGGGCACACTCTCTGCGCTCTTCCCCCCCCCCCCTCCTCCTCCTCCTCCTCTCTCCCTCTTTCCCCTTCCCTTTCTCGCCCCCTTACTGCCGTATTGTCACGGCCATGTCCACCGAGCCCGACGCCTCCTTTGCCGGGCGCGACCGGCGCCGGAAACCGGCATCCGGCAAGAAGTCCGACTCGCCGGGCCACCAGCAACACCCCCATGCGGGCGATGAGGCCGGGGACCAGAAGCACCGCCGAGGTCGGCCACAGCGTCCGCGCGGGACCTCCTCTGCGGCTGGGGCTGCCGTGGTGACGGCTCGGCCGAAGCCGGCCGAAGATGCCTCGGCCGAGTCGGCCTCCTGCGATGTGAACTACTTCAACTACTATGCGCAGTTGACCAACCAGCAGAACATGCTGCAGGATGCCGTGCGCACGACGCACTACCAGCATGCCATCCTGGAGAATGGCACAGACTTCAAGGATAAGGTGCGTGCTCTGGGTGGCCCCCCGCATAGCCCTCCTTCCTGGCCATGGGGCATAGGGGCCCCGCTGGACACAGTCCCTGAGGCCGTGCTTGGCCGGGGTGGCTGCCATCTTCCGGGGTCTTTTCCTTTGGTCCCCCTTTCGGCTGCGCCTCCTGCGTTGCTCCTGGTCTAACTGCTTTGTCAACAGGTTGTCCTGGATGTCGGTGCCGGTTCGGGCATTTTGTCTTTCTTCGCGGCCCAGGCCGGTGCCCGTCATGTTTATGCCGTTGAAGCCAGCAACATGGCCGACATCGCCAAGAAGCTGGTGGCCTCCAACAACATGACCAACAAAATCACCGTCCTGAAGGGGAAGCTCGAGGAGGTGCGCACTGCCCATGGAACGGGCGCATGTAAAGGTGCAGATTGCAGGGAAGGGGTGGAGGGATTTCCCGGCCACTGATTGTCTCTCCCCCGTCCCCGCTCGTCCTCATCCGCCTGCTACGACCACGACCACTGGATTTGCCTTGACTGCCTCCGCCCCCGATGCCAGGTGACCCTGCCCGAGCAGGTGGACGTCATCATCTCGGAGCCCATGGGTGTGCTGCTGGTGCATGAGCGCATGATTGAGACCTTCCTCCTGGCGCGCGATCTCTGGCTGCGTCCGGTGCGCTCAGCTTCCCCCCTCGCACGCCCATGCTTCACCACCCCTGACTCGCGCCCATGTGCTCGGCCCTCTCCTCCTCCTCCTCCTCCTCCTCCTCCTCATCTGTATACTCTCTCTCCCTCTCCCCCTCGCCCCCTCTCTGTGCCCTGTCTTCCGGGCTCTTCTCGCACATAGGGCGGCCTCATGATGCCCTCCACCTCGACCATCTTCCTGGCTCCCTTCACCGACAACTCCCTGTATACGGAGATCATGAGCCGAGTGCGCTTCTGGGAGACGAAGGATTTCTATGGCGTCGATCTGTCGGCGCTGCACAAGTCGGTCCGTCCCCCCGCCCCCCCCCTCCCCCTGGGCATGCTCCTCCTATGGCTGGTCTCCTGACGAGCTGAGCTCCCTCCCTGCTCACCGGGCCCTGGGTCTGCCACTGACATGCCCTCTTGCCCCAGGCCTTGGAGCACCACTTTAACCAGCCGGTTATCGGCTGCTTCGAGGCACAAACCATGCTCGCGGCCCCGGCGCAGCACTTCATCAACTTTGGGGCCCACCTGCTGGAGCAGCTTCAGTCCTTCACCATCCCCTTCGACTTCCTCTGCACATATACCGGCATCATGCATGGCCTTGCTGGGTGGTTTGATGTGAGCTTCAATGGCCAAACCAAGACCATCATCCTGAGCACCTCGCCCTTCAGCCCGAGGACACACTGGTATCAGATCCGCTTCTTGTTCAAGGTGCGTGCCCTGGGCGGACCATATGCTCGGCCCTGCTGCCGCCATGCCCGCTAGCAGTCCGCCAAGGAGGACAAGCAGCCAGGGGGGGGGGGGGGGGCCGCCAATCCCCACTCCATGTGACTTTCCTTCGGCCACTGACATGCCTTTCTTTGGGCCCCGCTAGAATCCCATCGCCGTGAATGCCTCGCAGCGCCTCATCGGCCAGGCGACCTTCACAGTGAACGACCAGCGGAGTTACGACATCACCATCGCCGCCGCCGTCTATGACCACATGGCCACCGTCCAGACCGGGGTCCATGTGCGTGAAGTGTATCATCTCCAGGACCAGCAGTATTGGTACCCGCCGGTGGCCGATCCAGCCACCAGTGTCAACCCCGAGGCGCACCACATGTATGCCACTCACTCTTGATGCGGTGACGGCCGCGGGCCCGGGCGTCCGGACGGCGAGAGGGCCTCCGGTCGAGAGATGTGCGCGCGCGCGCGCGCGCGCCGGGTCGCCGGTCCTTCTCCTCCTCGCCGGAGCGAGGAACGCCGCGGCGGGCCCGAGCCCCGGTGGGCCTGCCTCCTGGCCAAATACAGCATCCACCCCACAACACGAGCGCAACCGATGCCACCGCCGCTGCGGTGTGTACGTGTCCCCTTTCCTGCGGGGATGGAAGGGGAAGAGGGGGGGGGGGGGACAGAGGGCGGGCTGCCGCCAGGAACACCCTCTCCGTGGGTAGTACTGCAGGTGGCCGGTGCTGGGGTGCGCCACCAGTCGCACGGGCTGCAGCTCGGGGCCCATATACCAACGTGGGGCCGGCATGGTGCGGCCCGCGAAGGGGACAAAAGCCGCAACGCCAGCACATGTGCGTGTTAGGGGGGGG